TACACACACACACACACATACATATACATACAATCATATTTAACTGTAGAGACATGAGTTTGGGACCTGTGTAGAAAGGCCGTAAGAGACTGGGAAATGTTGACATTTTGGCTAGTTACAAACCTAGGGTTTATCTACATTGTAGAATTAATGCAGTTTGACACCACTTTAACTGCCATGACTTAATGATATGGAACACTGGGGTTCTTGGCTTAATGTAGCACAAGCACTCTTTGACAAAGAAGGATAAAGACCTTGTCAAACTAGAACTCCCCTGATTCCACAGCATGGAGCCATGGCAGCTAAAGTAGTGTCTAAAGTGTAGATTCACCCCTAGTAACCTGCTCTACTAATAGTAATAATAATAATAATAATAATAATAATAATAATAATAATAATAATAAACCTTTATTTATAACCCGCTACCATCTCCCGAAGGACTCGGTGTGTCGTATAAGAGGCCGAGACCCAATACATCAATGAACAACACAACAACAATACATCAATACATAACTCAAGCAATAGACATTAAACAGCATGATGCAATTTAAAATCAGTGTCAGCGAGTTGTGTATTTTTCTAGGAGGGGCTCCAACTGGTGTAAATCCAATTTGCTTCATCATACAATTGATTCAGAGACGAGTTGGGATCTCTGTGGATGATGTCCAAATCCATTCATGACCAATTCAGACTCCACAGCTGAAGCAGACTGAGATGCTGCAGTATAACCATGCAGAGAATTATTTTTCTTAAAGCGGATTATGATGTAGAAGATCATGCCAATGCCAGCGCCAGCAATCGTGCCAATGATGATTCCAGCTAGTACAAAATGGAGAATATACAGACATATATGAAGGGAGGGGGCATGAAAGGCAATCATATTGATAAAGAACAAAAACAGATGATATAAAAAGCCAATTTACAGCCTGTATTTTTAGTGCATAAATGCTAGTGACCGAAGCAACATTCTCAAAGGTGTTGTTGTTTGTCATGTGCCTTCAAGTCATTTTTGGGTTTTGGCAACACTAAAGCAAACCTATCATGGGATATTCATGGCAAGCTTTGTGAATTGCTCAAGGTGAGATTTCACCCAGTGAGATTTTCATGCTGAACTGAGATCTGAACCCTGGTCTCCAGAGTCCAAACCACTAGAGCAGGCTGGGTCATTACGATTATGAATCCATATTCTGCCCTCTTCTCATTATTGGGACTCAGTGAGGTTCAAGGGATTTCAAAACCAAACAAATTAAAAACATCTGTGGAACTATATTAAACCATTTAAAAGAGTAATCAAACATTATATCAAAGCAAATCCATTTTAACATTTTTATAGAACAGGATCTAAAAAGATGCAAAACAGCATGACCATCCAAATCCCATTCTATACCATAACTGGCCAGCAGATGAATAACCAGGAGAGGTTATCTTGGCCTTTCCGAAATTATCTAATCTAGAGTGCCTGTCTGGCTATGCTTGACTTTCCCTTTTTTGCTATCAAACTCTTGTACAGCGTTTCTCAACCTAGGGGTCGGGACACCTGTGGGAGTCATGAGGGGGATGTCAGAAGGGTCACCAAAGACCATCAGAAAACACAGTATTTTCTGTTGGTCATGGCAGTTCTATGTGGTAACTTTGGCCCAGTTCTATCATTGGTGGGTTCAGAATGCTCTTTTATTGTAAGTGAACTACAAATCCCAGCAACTACAACTCCCGAATGTCAAGGTCTATTTTCCCCAACTCCACCAGTGTTCACAATTGGGCATATTCAGTTTTGTGCCAAGTTTGGTCCAGATCCATCATTGTTTGAGTCTGCAATGTATGTAGGTGGACTAAAACTCCAAACCTCAAGGTCAATGCCCACCAAGCCCTTCCAGTATTTTCTCTTGGTCATGGGAGTTCTATATGCTAAGACTGGTCCAATTCCATCGTTGGTGGAGTTCAGAAGGCTCTTTGATTGTAGGCTAACTATAAATCCCAGCAACTACAACTCCCAAATGACAAAATTAATACCCCCCCCCCCAACCCCACCAGTATGCCAAATGTGGTCCAGTGAATGAGAATACATCCTGCATATCAGATATTTACATTACAGTTCATAACAGTAGTAAAATTTCAGTTATGAAGTAGCAACAAAAATATTTTTATAGTTGGAGATTACCATAACATGAGGGTCTGTATTAAGGGCATTAGGAAGGTTGAGAACCACTGCTCTCGTAGAACATTGTCATGCTTGCCTAAGGAGCCACTGCACCCACCCCATTTATCAGGACATCACTGCTGGTTAGGATTGGATCTAAAATAGCTGATCCGCATGTTGCCTTCTGCCCCATGAAATTGTCCGCAAAGCAGTAAGGAATTTGCTGAACCTGATATTCTTCCAAGAATTTAGCTTATTACACTCATTTTCAAATACAGAAGGCAGAAATATCCCCAGCTATATGCTACTTTTAATGGACTAGGTGTTGATATATCTAATCAATTACCACATCTCACCCCACAAAAAAGCTTTGCCCTCTAAGAACAGTTTACTTTTCATTTCTCAAGAACAGATAAAAATTAGGCTACTGCATTTTAGAAATGACATAACATTTGAAAATAGTGGATTTCTCTCCTCTCCATTGTTGGTTCTTACCAATTTTTCTGGAAGGAGACGCTGGGGATGTAGACATGTTCATGCTAAATGTGGGTGTAACATCTGCAATGGAGGCAGTATCTGGAAAAGAAAATGGGGTCAGAGATGGCTGTGCTAAATATTCAGCTCAGTGCCATGACTTTGTAGATCTGAAGTGTTTCTTGGGCAGGACATGTT